CCTCTCTCTGTATCACCATCTGGTCAAATAAAAACAAATTAAATTAAATCAAACAAAATAATTCTTTTTAAAACAATCCGGAATAATTACAAATGAAAGATTCTTCAGATTGAACAGAATGTGGAAGTGGGAGTCCATTTGATACTGGAGTGGGTTTTTGTTTATATGTGTGTATATTCATCAGTTCTTTTTGTTGTGTGATGAAAAAGCAATCATATAAAAATAATTTGCAGTTGCTCTAAAAAAGGAATTTTTTTCCTTTTTGTTTTTAGAGATTCTTCTCTGAGAATTCAAAGTTTCAGTTTAAAGCAACCAACATATATGGGGTAGGAAGGGCTAATACTAGGCAACATAAAAGTCTGTCCTTACAAGTCTGAGCTAAATTTGAAGCCTCTACTCTAATTCGTTTATTCTGTTTCCTTTAACGAATACTTAGAGCACTTTTTTTCCTATGCTGATTAAATCAGGGGAGACAAAAAGAAAAGAAGTCAGCCCTGATCTGGGAGTTAATAATCTAGTTGAGAACCAAGATACAATATAAGAAAAGCTAACTAGAGATACCAAGTAGTAAGAGCCTAGGCCTTATGTGACTTACACAAAGAAGTCCTACAGCAGTTAGAGGCGGGGCTGGTAACTGCCATGGTCACGGTCTAGATCAGCACTGTCCAGCAGAACTTTCTAGTGATAGAAACATCCACTATGTGTTGCTCAACTCAGTGGCCACCAGCCACATGTGGTTACTGAGTATTTGAAATCTGTTTAGTATAACTGAAGAACTAAAGATTTATGTATCTTTAAATAGCCAAATGTGGCTGGTGGCTACTGTATTTAACAGTGCAGGCCCAGATTCTGGAAGACATCAACAGTTAGTCAGACTTGTCCTGTTAACTGAAGAAAAGGATTTGAGAAGTTGAGACTAAAGGAAAGCATTCCAGAAGAAAAAGCATGAGTAAGTTGAGTGCAGTTCACATGAAGTGTGTGAAAGGATTTGGTGTTCGGGGAACCAGTAGTTAGCGTAATGGCTATGTCGCTGGACTCCCATGTAGTCGACCACGGTTCATGTCCCAGACCCGGTGGCTTAAAACTCAAGCCGGGTGAGTGTGCGTGTGTGCCCAAGATCCTGAGAGGAGAATGGAGGAGAAGGGATTGTGGCGTGATCATCCCCCCTGGGGGGTGATTTCTTGCTTTCTGTCTCTATGTCTCTCTCTGTCTGTCTGGCGAGCGCATGCGCCCTATAGTGAAAAATCTCTCCAAAAAAAAGAAAAGAAAGGATTTGGTGTTCGGATGAGGGACTGTGATGGGATGTTACAGTGGGAAGACAACACAGCCGACAAAGCTCTGGATAATGAGGAATCATTGATTATTTATGATCAATGGATAATAAATAATAGCTCTTACAGGACCAGCAGTTAGCGTAATGGCTATGTGGCTGGACTTCCACATAGTTGACCGCAGTTCGAGTCCCGGACCCGGTGGCTTAAAACTCACACCAGGCCCGTGTGCGTGCATGCCCAAGATCCTGAGAGGAGAATGGAGGAGAAGGGATTGTGGCGTGATCATCCCCCCTGGGGGGTGATTTCTCACTTTCTGTCTCTCTGTCTCTGTCTGTCTGGCGAGCGCACACGGCCTATAGCATAAAACCTCTCCCCCCCCCAAAAAATAATAATAATAGCTCTTACATTTTACCCAACATTATGTTGAGTGCCTTACATGAATTATTTAATTATTATAGTGGTCTTTTGAGAAATAAAAATGGCTGAGAAAGGGGTGACTAAGCTTATCAAGGAGTTCCTTGAAAAAAAAAATAGGGGGGATACCAGCATAGAAAATCTGTCTGGCAGTTTAGCAGTGAAAGGACTGAGGAAAGCCAAGCAGTTTGAGGAGGGTTAAATGAATGGGTCAGACTCATTTAGCCTGAAAGCAGAAAGAAGAACCTAATATAGATAGACCTGAGGATGACCTGGACTGGAGTGAGGTCAGGCCGACAGACCTCAGGGTGGGAAGGGAGAAGGGCCATGTGTTTCTTTGGGTACACTAGAACATGCAGAAAATGGATATAGACAAACATACTTTGAGAAGAATGGTAGAGACTGCTGGAGCTGAACGTTTTTACCTTAGTGAAGCAGGATTCAGGGTCATCTGTCTAGAAAGAGGAGAGAGAGCAACATGGAGTGAGCAACGAGGACGGAGATCTGTGATAACGTTAGTTTAAGCTGCCTGGATAATAACCACTACCACCGCTTATCATGTAGCTCTCATGTACTGATGTGGACATTCTGTACTTACATGGGTATTACCTCATTTAGTCTAACGACCTAAAGAAACAGTATTAATTCCAATTATTTCCAAACTATAAAAAAAGGAAATTGAGGCTCAAAAAAGTTTAGCATCTTAATTAAAAAAAAAAAAAAAAGATTGCGTACCACACTGCCAGGCATAGTATTAAGCAAGAAATAGGAGGGCAAGGGGCTGGCCGTCATGGTTTTATTGAAAAAGTGGTGTGAAACACCATAAAATACTAAAACCAGTGGTATAATAGCTATTGTAATCAATACGACATAGAGATGGGCTAGAATTGTGGGAAGGTAGAGGTTTTATTTAGCGGATCAGAGTGGACCGTTTGAGAGGATAAAGTGATCTGATAACTTTAGGCTGGGAAACCACTAAGTTTTCCAGACCAAGGAAAAGGCCAGTGTAGAAGCCCTGCGTTAAGAGCTGGGTGATCTCAGGACCAGTGGTTGGCATAAGGCTATGTCGTTGGATTCTCATGTACTCGAGTATGGTTCGAATCTAAGACCCAGTGGCTTAAACTCACACCAGGTGTGCGTGCCCAAGAGGAGAAAGTATTGCGGTGTGGTCATCCCCCCGGGGAGGTGATTTCTCGTTTTCTGTCCCTCTGTCAAGTGCACGCGCCCTATTACCAAAAAAAAAAAAAAAAAAAGTAGTGGGTGATCTCTTAGGAAACGCAAAGCTTAGTACAACGAAAACTTAGTGAGCAAGGGGGACCGGCCAAGGTTGGAGGAGTCGTGGCAAACCAGGAGAAAGGTTTAAGTAAAGGGGGTGACCCAGTCCGATTTAAGAGTCCTACGGGGGCAAGAGCCAGGCTGCCCGTTTGTCTCTCCGCTGGTTCTTTCCGCCCCGCGAAGCAGTCCCGCACATGGCACCGGATCGACTAGCCAAACGGTGGGGAGTGCGACCGCCAAGGTGGACAAACGCCCAGGCAACGCCGACCGCAGCCCCTCTCTATCCGAAGGCCACCCCGCCTTTTTCTCCCGCAGGCGAACCCACCCGCGGCACCACCCGCCCTCAGGTGGCCCGGCTTGGTTTTTCATCCGGGAAACCAAAACTTCAGATCGACGGTACCCGTTTCCTCTGAGAGCCATGGGGAGAGGAAATAAACTATGGGGCAGACGCAGTCTCACGGAAAACAGCCCTTTTTACTTTTGTCGTTCCTGGGAATAGAAGAGGGAAAGACGCTTTTTTGGTACGCTCTCCAAGTCACCCCCTCCAACAGCGAGCTCATTGGTTTGGCCTCGCCACCCGGATTGGCTAAAGATTTACGCCTCGGCCAGGGATTGGAGAACGTCGGTTCCGTACATATTCCCCGCGCCCATTGGCTCGTTTTCTCCGTTTCGGGGCGGAGTGGATAGGGACGGTTTCCACCCCCTTGTTTACGGGGCGCGTAGCTGTCGCCCTCTGGGAGCGCTGGGGCTGTCTCCAAAGTTCCCTGTGTAGCTTCTCGGACCAATTGGGGCCTTGCCCCACCCTCGCACTCTCCCTCGCACGCCTTCCGCGTGGTACGGCCCACACCTTGAGAGCCGCGGCGCGTGCGGAGGCCCGTCGCGTTCTTCCGCCCGCGCTCGCCGGGCTGCTCCCCCTCGAGGGCGCGCTTGGTACGGCCCGCGCCGCCTCCTTCCCTCGCTGGGGTGGTTGCTCTCCCCCCGGGTCGGCGGCGCTTGGTGCTGCCCG